CCTTGAACCTCCCAGAGGGACCTAATTGAGGGGGTCTGGTCGTACCTACACACTCTGCTTGAGACTGTGTTCCTGTCCTTAAATAAACCTTCTGCTTTACTGGCTGGTTGAGAGTCACAGTGAATCTCAGGAAGAGGGGTGCAGGGCCCTGACTCCCCCACACTCCGCGACACCCTGTTTTAAAGCACGGAGGGATTGGCAGAGCCAGGAATTGAAGCTAGATCTCCCAAGTCCCTTAATCACAAGGTTGTCATTCCTTTCTAACACTGCTGCCAGCTCACGCATGTGACGTGACTGTGGTTTTGCAGCGATGTTAATCCAAGTATCAGGGGATAGCCGTGTTAGTCTGTGTCCACAAAAACAATGAGGAATCTGGTGGCACCTTAAAGACTAACAGATTTATTTGGGCATAAGCTTTCATGGGTAAAACACCCCAGTCTGTTAGTCTTTAAGGTGCCACCGGACTCTTCGTTGGTTTTGATGTTAATCTAGAAGTTCTTACATACAGTAAAGAGTGTGGGTGTGTGTCAGAGACGTCCGTGTGTCCAGCGAGACCAGGAAAGGATTCATCTGGAATGGGAATGTGTCCGGCAAGGCCATTCTGCTGCTCCCACAATGCTCTTGTCTGCAACAGAGACAATGAGGGTTATGTTATCTCAACAGGCGCTGTCCTCCCTGTGGTAGTCCTGTCCCAGCAACACGGCACCAAGGCAAATCCAGGGTGGTAAATGACACAGTTATGGGCCTAATGCGCTGCTCTTGCTCCTACAAGAAAACACTCAACAGAGTCTGTGGGGTTCTCCCTCTGCACCCTCCTTCTGAGATTCAACAGCACAGAGACCCCTAAAAGGCATGAGGCTCTGGACTTGGAGCTGAGATGCTAGTGTTGGCCTGGAGCTGACAGGTGTCTGTGCTAATGCATTATGGCTGAGATTTCCAAAGCTGTCTTGGGAACGTGGCTGCTCAAATCCCATTGGCAGGGGCACTAGTGGGAGAGGGGGCCTCACTTTGTTTAGGGATACATCTGAACTTTGGGATGTTTATCTGAAGCGTCACAGCCCTTTGACTCGGATCAGAGAGCAGGAACCCCGCACAACCTGCGACATCTCATTCTCCAGCGGAAGCCACCCGTGTCCTCTGCTGAGCCATGGGGGGGATAATGCCACCACTCAACGCACATTGCAGTTAAATGTTAACCCAGCAGGGGGGACTCCGGCTCCAAACAGCCAGCCCGGCTTGTTTGTGTGATAGAATTAGGTCAGTTAAACAGCCAGGGAGCTAATGATCAGCTACACTCTAGACCTCTAGCCTCATAGTAGATCCCACATGGCAGCTTTTCCCATGCTTATCAGGGAAGTCTGTTCCAGGCTCAGCCCACACACTCACAGCATCCCATGTTTGTCCAGTGAGGGACACACCCACAATCCCTGCAGATCACTGTGGT